AGACTACAGTCTTTGGTAGATGATGAAGTCATAAAGTGAAGAACAGGCCTGACGTAGTCTCTGTGGGGAAAGTGAAAGAGAATAAACCACAAATGAGTTTTAACAAAACAAATTAGAATCCCTCTTTCCACCAAGGCCTCAGCCATGGAGAGAGGGGAATGCACATTTTCAGAATCTGCACTCTCTTGACCACTCAGTACCTGCCTCCTTAGGGTTTCTTGGCCCTGGTTAGGTTGGGCTCCATTGAGCCAGACACTGCCAGAGCCTAAAGAGTGCCAGGTGGTCACAAGGCCAGGTATGTGGCTCCAAATCCCTTAATCCCACCAGGCCGATTAGTGTACAAGTCACTGAGAAGCTCAGAATAATATTGACAAGTAAGGTTTATACCACAGCCAGCTCTTGGGCTCAGAGTTCCAGCCTGACTAGGACTTATTTGGTTGGCAGAGGGGTTTTCGCTTGGTCCAGGGGAAGGGTATCTCCCGTCTCTTTTCTCCTTCTTTTCCCTTCCCTAGTCTCCTTTCAGGAAGACAAATCGTCTAGCCCTGTGTCAGAGCAGCTTGATCTCCATTTTGACTAATCTCAGCAGAGCTGGGCCATGCTATTGGCTTGCTTCCAGAGACAAAGTCTGCTGCTTTAGAGAGACTTCCAGCATTCCCCAAAAGAAGAGAAACATTGTGAAAATCTATCTCTCTTGTGGTTTCATGCACTATAGCCCCTATCTAAGTAATTCTGTATCAGAACCCCTATTGATCTTTAAATATATATTTATTATAGTAGTAATAATAATAGCAAACATTATAGAGTGTTTAGAATGTGCCTGATGCCATGTTAAGCACTTTACATGCATTTTCTTATTTAATATGTTTAATAACTTCATAACCCTGTGAGGTAAGTACCTATTTTCTTTTTCTCCCCCCCTTTATGTAATTAATTTTAATATTCTCATTTTCCATTTCTTAAGGCTCAGAGAGGTTAAATAACTTACCCAAGGTCATGCATCTCAGATTTGAGCCCATGTCATTCAATTCTAGAGCATGTGGTCTTATCTGCTATACTACGCTGCCACCCCTATATTCCTGAAAATGTGACTTTCCTGGAGTCACTCAGCCCACAGAAGAGTTGCCATCAGCATTAGTAAGGATGGTTCTAGTTCCCTCCTCTCTGCCCACATCATATATTTTAATTGGAGCTGGGGGGCTCTCAGAGCCTCTCAGGCTCTCAGAGTCTATGAATGGCTCACAGGGAGTCCTGGTGCTCCAGGGAGAAAAGGCTTCAGAATGAGTCATACTGGAAGAGTTAGCGGTTTGGAATTGTGGGAACAAAGGCAGAGAAAATGCAAGGGACTACCAGGTATGCACACAGAAAACTTTGGTTAGAAAGTTTGGAAGCTGTGGATTTATTATTTTCTGTGTATTCTTAGAACAGAAACCTCTGGGGCCAGAAGAGAAGGCTGTTGAAATGAGATGGTGCATAGGGCTGACCCTGGGGCTGAACATGGTGGTTTACATTCAGGCCTTGACTCCTCTTCAGGGGAAAGTGAATATTTTTGGCAAAAATCCTGATAAGGAAGAATCCTTGGAGGCTGGAAAGAGAGCAGACTTGGGAACCAGAGGTTGGTTGAGGTGGTCCAGAAGATAAGTTAGAGGGAAGACAGACTGACCTCAGGCAGGAAGAAGAAAGTTTGAGGGGTGGGGTGAGGATTGAGAGTAGGGGGAGTGGGAGAGTGTGGGCAGGGAGGGCAAGATACTTGCCCATACTTCCTGCACCCTTTGCCCCCAGTCCACCAGAAACACCAGTTGTCAACTTTGACTCATGACAACTTCATGTGTGTCAGAGTAGAATTGTGCTCCATAGGGTTTTAGCTGATTTTTCTGAAGTAGATTGACAGGCCTTTCATCTGAGGTGCCTCTAGGGTAGACACAAACCTCCAACAATTTTTGGCTAGCAGGCAACACATTTGTACCACCCAGGGACTCCGCCAGCACACATCAACCAAAAAAACCAAACCACTGCCGTCAAGTTTATTCGACTCAGAGCGACCCCTCCTTGGGCTTCTGAGGAGGTATCTCTAAGGAGGAAGATTGACCAATTTTCCTTTTGAGGAGTAGCTGGAGGGTTTGAACTGCCAGCCTTCTGGTTTGCAGTCAAATGCCTTAGGCATTATGCCACCAGAGCTCCCCCCAGTGCACATATCTAAAAGTTTACTCCAGGCTAGTTCAAATCCTATCTCATACCTTCTGGGATGCCCACACTGGCTCATTCGTCCTACAAAATTAATGACCCTTTCTTTGGGCTCTCAACAATTATTTGTATCTTTCTTCCTTATTTCATTTTGCATTACTGTATAATAATTTTTATCCCCATTAAATTATACATTTTAAAAAGAAGAACCATTTTATAATTATTTTTATATCTCTCTTTGCATAGTCCCTGGAAGGGTGCTATATATGCATAGCAGTATCTCAGTAAGTGAATGAATGAATGAATGCAGTGAGAACCAGGTAAGAAGATAAGTGTGTGTGAATATATATATATGTATTGAAGATCATTACTGCTGAAGGAAAGAAAAAAAAAAATGAGAGAAAAGGTGGAGAAAAAACACAACACGAGAGTAAATATAAGTAACTATTACCCACGACCCACGCCTTTGAGTTGATTCCAATTCAAAACAACCCTGTGAGACAGAGTAGAACTTCCTCACAGGATTTCCAAGGCTATAATCTTCATCAAAGCAGACTGCTATATCTTTCTCCCATGGAGCAGCTGGTGGGTTCAAACCGCTGACTTTCTGGTTAGCAGCCAAAGTTCTTAACCACTGTGCCACCAGTGCTAATAATTACTGAGTGTTTTCCATGTATCAGATGGATCAGCTAAGTGTTTCATGTGTGTGACCTGACGTAATATTCACCGCAATCCTACAAGGTAGGCATAATTATCATCCATTTATGACAGATGGTGAAGCCAAGTCTCAGAGAAGAAGTTTACTTGTCCCAAATCATATGGCTAATAAGTAGCAATCCCAGGACCTAACATGGGTCTATTGGCCTCGAGAGCCCTAACTTAAAAGTTAAAACTATTAAATCATACTGCTAGCCAGTCTCCCCTGTTGTATTTTCCCATAGCCTTTAGACTTCTCTTTTGAGGCATTTTGCAGACTTTCATTTTTTAAATGGATTATTTGAAATTATTTAATAACTGTCTTCACTTGTAGGAGGTTAGCTCTAAGAAGGTGGTTATATCCCTTTAGTTACACTCTTAGCTCTTAGAACAATGCCTGACACATACTAGGCACTCAATAAATATATGTTTACTGACTGACTGACCAACCAACTATTGTTAGCTTGCTGACCTCACGTGTACAGAGTAGAACTGTTCCATGGGGTTATCAAGGCTGAGAACTTTCAGAAGCAGATCACCAGGCCTTTCTTTTGAGGCACCCCTGGGTGGGTTTGAACCGCCAGCCGTTAGGTTAATAGTCAAATGCTTAACAGTTTGTGCCACCCAGGGACTCTAACCAACTGACTGCTGCCTTCTTAAAAATGACAACTCCCAGGATTCTGTAAGCCCTTCTTCCACTCTTCCTCTCAGTTCTACCGCCTCACTTCAGCAGTCCACTCCCACTGGTCAGCACCATGCCTCTCTTTAGCCTTAACCTAAAGCTGGGCCATGGGCATTAAATGCCAGGGCCAGTCTTTAGTCCCAAAATATCCCTGAACTCAGCAAATGCTGATCAAGTGACTGTCTCTCTCTGGCTTAGGATGGAAAGACGCCAGGAAAGATCGAAGCACCTACCCTGATGGGTTACACCAGGGCTTCTAGAAGGGATTTTGTGGCAGGAGGGAGGGGGGCAGGAGATTGAATGTCTGTGTGACTGTGCAGGGCAGCATGATGGATGAGTAGTGGAAAGCCCTTCTATGAAACACGCCAGACCTGTTGCAACAGTATCCCTCCCAACTGCCCAGAATTATATTTCCCTGAAGACACACTAAATTGTGCTCTGGATTTAGATGTGAGTTCCTTCTCGATGCTCCCAAAGGAGGCCTGTATACAGATGCCCCAGCAGAGGAAGAAGCTGATGGGAATTGAGGGAGGCTTGAACCCTCTTCCCAAGAGCCTTGAAGCTTCATGCAAATTGATAGCTCTTTAGGAGTTTCCTGACATCTGTAGATCACAAGATCACACTTCCTGCCCATAACAGCCTACCCGTTCTCAGCATTGGTATACAGTGAGGATTTATTCTCTCTCTTTCAAGAAGTGACCAAAGTAGGCTGGGGTCTCTAATACTCAGCACTCAGGTTCTCCTTGGCAGAAGTGACCGGGCTGCTGGCCACTCCTCTTAAATGGAGGTATCTTTTCTGAAGTTGTAAACGACCGGGAGGCCCCAGGCATATTACCAAATACAGTAGAAAAAAGTCAAAGAACCTGGCACCGACCACAGCAACATCCACCCAGTGATGGAGAAGTGAAATATGTGCTTGAACAGGGCTCGTCTGGAGCCTGTTCCTTCCTGAACCCACATTGGCCTCGTCCCTTCTTTGCTGGCTCTCTGAGCCTCTGATCTACTTCTGCCAGCCTCTACATTTTTGTATCTTTTTCTCATTGCGTGGCCCCCTTGTCTTTAAAAGGCTAAACGCTCTGTACTAAATTTGGTCACGCAGCGCTCCAAGATTCCCTGGAATGTCCTCAAGTTTCAAACAGCTCTGACAGCGAGGCAGACCCGCCCCCAGAGTGGGGATTGGCTTCTGCTTTCGGGGCCAGGCAGCTGTCGGGTCTTATTGGTCAGTAGGTAGACCAGCGGCTCCACTCACCCTGGGCTGTTGGGAGGCTACTGCCTCTAGTTAACAATTCAGCACCTGTGGCACCGCGGGCCGTCGGTGCGCTGCGGTCCTCCACCCAGCTCCCAACCCCACTCTGCTCCATCCAGACCTGCTCACCCCTCTTCCCACCTACGCACCTGACTCTCACAGCCCCCCGCAAAAGCTGCCACCCACTTTGCCGAGATGTCTAAGGTAGCCAAGTATCGCCGGCAGGTGAGCGAAGACCCCGATATCGACAGCCTGCTGTCCACCCTGTCTCCTGAGGAGATGGAGGAGCTGGAGAAGGAGCTGGATGTGGTGGACCCGGATGGGAGCATTCCTGTGGGGCTGCGGCAGAGAAACCAGACTGAGAAGCAGTCCACGGGAGCGTACAACCGAGAAGCCATGCTCAACTTCTGTGAAAAGGAGACCAAGAAACTGATTCAGAGGGAGATGTCCATGGATGTGAGTGAAAGGAGTCCTGGAGGGGAGGACAAGAGAGGGTGTGGGGGTGGTGGAGACCTTGACTCAATGGCTGGGATGCTTCCTTGCGGAGCAAAATTTCTGTTGGTAAGGAAATGAATTCTTCAGGACTGATTAGTCCGAGGAGCTCTGGTGGTGTAGTGCTTAAGGCATTTGACTGCTAACCAGAAGGCTGGCGATTCAAACCCACCAGCTGCTCCAGGGAAGGACGACTGGGCAATCTACTTCTGTAAAGATTTACTGCCTCAGAGACTCAAAGGGGGTGGTTATGAGTCAGAGTGGACTTGATAGCAGTGAGTTTGGTTTGGTTTTTTGGTTTGATTATCATTCACTGAACTAGCAGTGTGAATCTCTTACCTCTAACTTCTGTTTTATAAGCAGAAGTTGTATATTTTGTAGGAACTCAACATTCCACAATATCAAATAGGGTCACTAGTAGAATGGAGACCAGAATGTGTCCTCAAAGTATTTTTGTCACATTGATTTCATCTTGTCCCTCAATACCTTTTCTTTCCCTCCCTTCACACCCATCCCATCCTATTGTGAGGAGGGGCAGCGGATAGACTGATACTTGCTATTTCTTGCCAAACACCTAACAAAAAAAGTTAAACCCTCCTTTGGAAGAAAGACTCCATTTTTAAGCACTGTGGCCCTGTGAGCATCTCATGGTACCAACCATTTGAGGAGGCAGATGGGCTTCCCAAAGAGATGGGAGACATGGGGTCAAGGGTTTGTATCTTAGCCTGATGGCTTCCATTTTATTCTAGGGGAAGAGGGACATTTTCTGCACACACTACTATAGCCTCTTGAAGGAGCTTCCCTATTTTTGGTACTAAGAATTTTCACAAACTAGTAACACCACTTTGCTAGAAAATGGAGGTATTTCCCAGCAGTGTGTTTTGTCACCAGGAGGGGACGGGATGGGGTGTGTGTTACTGTTTTGGAAGCATCTAGGATTAGCTGGAACAAAATCTGCTTCCTGTTTTCCTGGGGGTGGGAATTGGCATGGGGGGATTCATTTTGTTCACCATTGCGTTGATCTGTGAGTTTTCTTTGGATGAACTAGGCTAGCCTCTAAGTATAGGATCCTTTTGCTCATGGCAAAGCGTGTTTAGCGGGAAAAATGTTCTGAGTCCTTGGACTAGTTCTTTTCTAACTAGTAACCATTGCTATTGTGTTGATGTGTGTCACAGTAGAACTGTGTTCCACAAGGTTTTCAATGGTTGTTTATTTCAGAAGTAAGTCACCAGGGTCTTTCTCCTGAGGCTCCTCTGGGCAGACTTGAACCACTAACCTTAGGTTAGCAGCTGAGGGCCTTAACTGTCTGCACTGCCCAGGGACTCCAGTTCTCTTCTACTCAGCATTTACTGGCCATATCTCTTGTATATTATCCATTATCTATAAATGTTTGCAAGAAAAATCTAGTTATAATTCTTGTTCTTTGTTTCTTTTACTCCCGTGACTAATAAGTGTGCATAGTAAACTGGCAAAACCCAGATGCCCACGGTAGGGGGCACCTACATCACAAAGCTTCAAAAGACATGCTCACTCTTACAGAAGAAACGGGAGAGGTGATATTGTCATCTCAAACTGCTGTGAAATGTCTGGCTGGGTAGGTGATTGTGTTGAATGCTAGTCACAGAGCTCATTTGTGGCTATAGGTCCTGCCTCCTTGCATGAAGGGATGACAGCATGGGGAGAAAAGGCAACAAAGTGAGGTAGAGCGCCTGACTCTGTCCATACCTCCCCTGGCCCATGTTTAAGGCGTTGCCAAGAAGTTGGGGGAGCAAGGAAGACAGGAGGCTCAGACACTTATCATCTTCTGGGCAACTCATGATGTCTTGCTTCTGTGAGGGCCTGGTACCTTAAGAAAACTATTAGAAAACACACAGGAAGAAGGCAATACAATCAAAAGCTTTGGGACGTCTGTAAATCTCCTACTTGGACCCTAACCATTCATTCTGAAGTATGGCCTCGTTCCTTCCTCACTGCCAGTCCCCAGGCACTGTGTCCATGACTGCTTTGTGCCCAGTGACTTCTGGTACTCAGAAATATGCCCCTGAGGCAGGAGCGAAACAGGAACACTACTAATCACAAAGCAAGATTCTTAGGCCACTTAGAGTGTGAGGAATTCTCATGCTCCTGGAAATTTGATTCTCACAAGCCTTTTCCCTCAGCCAATTAATAATACCACAGCAAACCTCTCCTCCCCTGGGTGCCTCCCTCACACTTACCAGGTACACACTTGTTTTTGCAGACAGAGCCTGAGTTAGGAAATAGAAGATGAAGAGTGGTATGTTTTGATGTGTGTATATGTGTACCTGTGTGTGTACACATGTACATCCTTGATATAAGAAGACACCTTTAGGGTCATTTTCTCTTCATGGAGATAAAATGTTCAGATCTACTCAATCTTTTCCAAACAGTCCAAGAGCATGGGTTGGCAAGATGGCTAGAGTTCAAGGTACATACTAAGCTATGGACAGAAGTCATCTCTATGTCTGGGCAAATGGGAATGAACACTAAAAGTGCCTTCTTTAGCACCATAAGCAATATAGTGATGTACGGTAAACAACTTGGGTTTAAATATCAGAAAAACCTAATTTGGGCACCAGCATATCCCATTGTCTATGTATCTAAGTAATTCAGAAATTTCCTAACCTGAGTTTCAGTGTCCTCATCTGTAGAATGAGAACAACGTCTCATAGGATTATGTGTGCAAAAGAAAAGGGATAATAATGTATTTAACACAGAGCTTGCATGTAATAACTGCTCAATAAATAGCAGCTACGAAATTATTAATTCATTGAGTCAAGGAACCCAGAAGGTGATAAAGTGAGCAAAAGCACTGTAGGGACCTTTGAAATCACAGAGACAGAATAGTGGGTGGGGCTCCACGCTGTGGAATCTGCCACCCCCTCCCCAGAATTCCCCTCTGAGCACCTGGCTGGGAGCTGTCACTGAAGATGGCCTTTATGACATGTGAAGAATGAAAAGTTAATCTAAACAGATAGTGTGAGCCTATTTCGTTCTACCTGAGGAAGAGCAATGAGTTGATTTACTGAGAAACTTCTATATGCTGAGCACATTCACCTTTTATTTAAGCCTCACAATTCTCGAGAGATGGGTATTTTTATCCTCTTTATACAGATTTAGAAATGGATGCTCAGAAAGGTTGAATAACAGCCCTAGGTCACACAGCTAGTAAGTGGCTTGCTTGTCTTTGAGAAGGGTATGTCCCTTCTCTGCTGCACTAGGGTACAAAAAAAGCCAGTAATGCCACCCCCTACCTTTAAGAACTTATAATGTAACTGAGGTCACAAAACACATGCTATGGAGCCACTTGAGAGGTATTATAAAGCAATGACCACATAGTTTTATGTTGTCATGGGAGCAGTGGGTATAATAGCACCACCAGTTGCCATCAAGTTAAGTCTACCTCATAGCAACCTGTGTGTGTCAGAGTAGAAATGAACTCCATAGGGTTTTCAATGGCTGAGTTTTTAGAAGTGGATTGCCAGGCCTTTCTTCTGAGATGCCTTTGAGTGGACTCCAGCAGTCAACCTTTCTGTTAGCAGCCAATCATGTTAATCATTTGCACCACCCGGGGACTCTAGTTATGACACAGTCAGGCTGAATGCTTCTCCTCTCCTCCTCCTTGAGACGTCCCTCCCCACCCACCTACATGCACATCCAATCGCCATTCCCCCATGAGTAGACATATAACTTAAAACCAAGTGTGGATTAGGGACAGTAAATCCTGCCTGGATATTGGATGGCATTATGGGATTATTATTGTTAATTTCTTTTAGGTGTGATAACATATTTCAAATATATATATTTTAAAGATCCTTATCTATTAGATGGGGGCTCTGGTGGCATAGTGCCTAAGGCATTTGACTGCTAATCAGAAGACTGGCGGTTCAAACCCACCAACCACTCCTCAGGAGGAAGATTGGGCAATGTACTCCATAGAGATGCCTCCTCAGAAAGCTAAGGAGGAGTTGCTATGAGTCTAATCAACTTGGCAGCAGTGAGTTTGGTTTGGTTTTGGTTATCTATTAGATATAAATATTGGAATGTTTATGTTGAGGGCAGATGATAGGATGTAGGGAATTTGCTTTAAAATATTTTAGTTGAGGGGAATGAGTGGGGTATAGATGAAACAAGACTGACCATAAGTTGAAAATTATTTAAACTACCAGTTGTGGATCAACTTGGGTGTTCATTATACTATCCTCCTACTTTTGTGTGTATGTCTGAAATTTTCCATAATAAAAAACTTTTTAAAAATAGATGGAAGCCAAGTATAGGAGACAAGCTCAGTTTTGGTCTTAAGTCCTAGCCCTTCTGGAGAGAGGGATCCCCAAGATTCATACTGTGGCTACCATGCTAGATGGGTCTAGACTGTGCTTCTCCCTCAGTGGGATGGACTACTCCAGAGAGCTGGGCAAGTACCTTCTAGATTGGCTTACCAACTCTTTCATCAACATTCCCCACCCATTCCCATGTCTCTTCCTGGTTAATTCCTATTTGGCCTTCAGGACTCAGGACTACTTCCTCTGGGAAATCTCCCCTGATCGCAAGGCAAGGTTATGCCCCTGTCTGAGCATTCTAACAGCACTAGGTACCAATCCGCACCATGGCATCGCTTTGTTGTCACTACCTGTTTTCTTGTCTGTCTCCCTTACCAGCTTATGTGACTCTGGAGGGCAAATACTAGCACAGGGCCTGCACATAGTAGGTCTTCAACCTCCGTTTGTTGAATCAGCATCAGCAGGGGGTCAGCATAGAGGTAGAGCTTGGTAGAGCTGACCACTGGCTTCTTTCCCTGTTTTTAAAGGGTCAGACCTGTCAGCCAAGTGATTCCACCCTGGTCCTCTGAGGAACTCTCCTATAGCCCAGGTGGAAGACAAAGCCCCTGGCTAGTGCGTTGCCAACAGTTCAGTGAAACCCTTGTCCTTGGGTCAGGTTTCAGGAAC